CTCTCATATCAATATTCTGTATCAGGCACTTTCCTGTCACTAAGATACAGTACTAGATACCCACAACATAATGGAGGAAAGGTTTAATTTGGCTTAGGGTTCAGGGAATTCAGGTAATGGTCTACTCCTTCCATGGTAAGAACATCATGGCAGAAATATGTGATAAAACAAAGCTGCTTAGCTCACGGTGGCTGCCAAGTGGAACAGTAGAATCACACAAGAGGGAGGGCCAAGGGATCAGGTGTAGATTGCCAAGGCAATACCTCCTTGACCCATCCAGTACACCCACAAATGTATTGTACCAATTCCCTGGGCAGATCCCAAAACCATGTAAGTAGACATTCCACCCTAACCACCACATCCTGCTAGTTAGAAAACAAAAAAAATCATATATGAGCTATGACCAAAATATACAGGGAATGTTTAAATTTTTAAAACTTAGGTCAGGTGTAGTGGCACATGTCTGTAATCCCCACACTCAGGAGGCTGAGGCAGGAAGATCACTGTGAGTTTGAGGCCAGCCTGGGCTACAAACAAAGATTAAGGCTAGCCTGAACTGCATAGTAAAACCCTGTCTCAATATATATATAATCATATATAAATATACTATATATAAATATATACTATATAGATATATAATATATAAATATGTTATATATTATAATATTATATACCATAAATATATATTATAAATATATATGATATATAAATATATAATATATATATATGGTTGAGTCATGAGGATCTCTATGAGTCAGAGGCTAGCCTGGGCTACACAATGAGTTCAAGACCAACCTGAACCACAGAGTAATAAAAGATAATTACAATTAGCCCATCAATCCCTCTCAAAATACTACTCCACACCTCAAACACATTTAGCTCACATTTCTTGCCACTCTGATGCAGTTCAGGAAGTTCTCTTTGGTGGGTGTCTTCATGAGGTGTGATCAGAACAGTGAATGATACTGCTGAGTGCCATCCATCAGAAGGGCAGGCTCAGAAAAACACGAGACTGCTCTCATCCACTCTATTCACTAGGTCTGGCACCATGAGGCTTTTGGGTCTTCTGTAAAGTCAAAATGACCATATAATATAAAATAAATGTTTTAAAATCAATTCAGAACTCCACGGCAGCCACATCACAACTATAGACACTCATGAAAAAGGATTCCAGAACTGCTGCAGAAGGCAGTAAAATGATGGGCTGTCTGTTCAAAATGAAATGAGGTATTTTAAGGGGGATTAATGGCAACGTTTTACTGTAGTATCTTTTAAATTTAAGAATTCACCAGATTTTTGGATCATACCAGAAATACATTTTAAACTGAGTTCAGGAAAATATAAAACCTCTAAGAGCTACGATCTATGTAAGACAGGAGGTTTTACATGTCCCTATGAACTAGGGGAAATCTTAAACTCATTTCATTTTGAGCCAGAAGGGTGTGAAGGGGCAAATGCCAGTGTCGTATTTGGTCCTAAGCTTTTTGAACACAGTTATGCATTGGGCTATCCATGGACCAAATGCAGCCAAATTAATCTCACCTGGTTTGAGACGTGCAAGAAATAGATTTCTTTCTTAACTGCTTAATTAAAATAGCTATTTTGAGTAAGAAAGTTGTTGATACTTTTACTGTGAGAACAGTGAGTTCGCGCGCTAGGACTAGTGCACCTGAGATAAACGGTAGTTAGACTCTTGACAGTTTATGCTGCTCCCCACTAAAAGTTAGTGTCCCAGTTCTCACTGTGCTACTCGACAGAAGAACTCCTCTTATAAACTTCGTAGGTCAAATTTACATGTCATGCGGTATTAGAAATTATAAGTATCTAGAAATTTGCTCCATTCCTGTTCATGTGTACCAAAATTTATAAAATGAACATTTTAGTAAAACTACAATCACATGCTAAATGTGCAACACCTTTTTAAGAAATAACTTGTTAGATGTATTCCTCATTGTGCCAATATTGTAATCTATACTCAAAGAAACTTAGATGGAAGGAACAGATCAATCACTTGATGTAACCTCTGGGTATAATCAAAAGTAATCATGAGCCACAGTAATCATGAGATATGAGATTGCTGCCAGCTAACACAGCATATTGATTTACAGTAAATTTTTTATAAGTGGAAATCAAGGATGTTTTGGAACTGGGGACATAAAAGAAGTTGATAAATTCTTATGGCTCATAACAATGTTAGTTTTAATGAAAAGGTAAGTGAATTAATCAGACAATTGAAACTATATGGGGGAAAATGAAACTGAACCCAAATTGTTTATGTACACTAGCAGCTGGAACCACAATCTGCATTCTTTTCCTGTTATTTAAAAGCACTGAGCTCACAAGAATTACACAAAGTTCAGAACTACAGAGCCATTTGATAGAAAGGAAAATCATGACTCCAGTGAGGATTCACACATGGTTGATGGATTTTAATTTTCTGTACCTGCATTTGGAAGATATAACTTTAGGATATATCTGAATTATTAAGAATCTGCTCTTTGAGTGTGAATAAATTTTGATAAGCAAGTTAAACCAAAAGCAAAATGCCCTCTAATTCTGAAGAAGCACAGCCTATGAATATTAAGATTATCTTAAACAATGCTACCACTGGGTAATGTTTGAGTTCACCAGGTTCAGTAAAATTTCATCTTTTTAATACATTCATGAAATGAAAAACAAATTGGAGAGTACTACTGGAATGCTAACCTACAGTTGAGATAAGCCATAATTCTTAAGAATGTATCTGTAAACTACCAATATTTTTTATGAATGATTAAAGTAGATCAATAATTAGCACTGAACTCAAAGCTCTTCTGTAAGGATAAATTTTAAGAATCTTTTATGTAAGCTGTTTTCATTTTATTCTAACATTACAGGTAATAAGATAAACTTTATTCTTATTGTCAAAAATCCATATTTCTTACTGATACATGGGTTTGTGATCATATTCTGTACAGGTACAAATAAATATGTATCCTTATACTCTATAATAAATTCTTAATTTCTTGAAAGTGAACATAATGAGTTCAGAGAGTGAGCAGTTAACAGAAATAACATAGTTGCATTTTCCTGGACCAGTCCAGATTTTGAGGTACTATAAAGCGAAAACAAATACTAAATAGAAAATCTAAAACAGAAGAAACAAAGCTAAATCAGATAATTCATTTGGGGTTAGTAATTAAATGTTAGCCAAAAATCAACAGATAATATGCTTTAGGAAACATGAAGTTTTAAACATTTTACAATGAGGCAGTATGTATACAGAACTCATCACTCCAAGAAAAACACATAAATTACTAACAGTTCTGAGAGCAGAGAAGAGAAGCTCCACACCTTCCTCTGAGGACAGCATCACAAAACTAAATCTTTCAGAAAGAAAACATCCCTGTTTCCAAGAGGAATACAAAAGCTAACCTCATTGTCCACCCCACTCATTTCCCCTACTCATCTATATACTCATTCACTATACTTACAGAAAGGTACATAAAAGTGCCTCTCTGTCAAGGCCTATATTAGGAATTGGGAATAGACCAACAAGTTGGAGACAAGAAAAGAAATCCAAGTATTTCCACAAGTACTTTTTGCATTACAAATACTTTTACAGAAAAATAATAGAACTACCATGTACATATCTGTAGATTTAGTACTTTCTTCTACCTTCTTTACAGCTAAGTGGTAGAGTACTTGCCTAGTATACACCAGGCCCTGGACTACATGTACAACGCTGGAAAAGAGAGGGAAGAAAAAAGATGAATCTCAAAAGTTTCAAAAAAAAATTTTTCAAGGAAAAGTCAAAAGCATACATACTTTTAGAAAAAACCTGAAGGGAGAATAAAGAGTTATAGCTGAAGTTTTATGAAAATAAGCCACACAGTTTAGGTAAGTCATTTTGGTTTAGTTTTCTCATCTGTCCAAAGCAGGAGCAATGAAACTCTATAGATCTGTTGTAAAAATAAAAATACTAGGAAATGCAACTAAGGAACTCCACCTACAGAGTTCTTAAAGGTATATAATAACATCGGCATATACTCAGAGGATACTTCATAATATGCTTGCCAGTGAAATCCATTACTGTGGGAAATGGTTTGCTTGGCTTGTCTGGAAATCACATTCCTAATAGAAGGACCAACAGAAATGCAGAAGTCTAGCTTTTCTAAGGAACCACAGGAGCACTACCTGTCTTTCCTTAATAAGTTATTTAATAGGCTTGTTCCCACTCCAACACTTTTCTTCTCCTAATATAATAACTTGCTCATTCTGATCTCTTCAAGGGTTACAATATTACCTAAACTTTCTGTTTTAGTCTAGAAAGGCCTATCCTATAATTCTGACAAGTTTGTATGCATTACAATATTATCTATAATTCCATTTTCTCTACCATATTTTTGTAGGAAAAAAAATTGTTCCCACCTAACTCTATTTAAAGACACCTTAAGTGGTTCAAAATCAATCCTACATCATTAGGCAAGAAAGAATCTAACTCTCCCAACACTGGACTCCAGATTTTGAGAGCAGGAATAGACTAGAAAGAAGCCGAACTTCTATGAGCTGTAAGATGAAAAAGGACTGTTGGAGGCAGTAACATCTTATGTCAGTCGATCTGAAGTGAGCTGTCTCCAAGAGGCAGCTTCAGTCCACAGTCAACACAATCTAAAGCTGAGATGCAGTAACAATTAATGAACTCTGAAAAAAATGCATCATCTAATTTTAGTTATTTAAAAAGCATACCTACAGGAGTAATGGAAGCACTATCTACCAAATAAATTTCTATAACCAGTCAATTAATTCTTGCCTTCTCAACCACAGATATTATTTCACAAGCTAAAATAATTTGTATAATAGTGTGTCAAACTGGCAATAAAAAACGTACATAAATTCTCCCCATGAAATATGCTTCCTTTTAAAAATAAAGTAGAAATAGATCATCTTTTTAGGATTTTTATAGAAATGCATTTTAAAGAACTATGCTAAAGATATAGAGTGAAGCACTTAAAATGTACCTAATTGACTTGACAGCTTCTAGCTCTTCAGCAGTTAGGAATGAAGTTATCTTCAAGAAAACCATGTCAAATGTGCAGTCATCCAAAAGGGTAGCTGCCTTCTTCATATCGCTAATGGTGATGGTAACTTCTGCTGAATTTGGAAAGAATTTCTGTATATCATCAGCCAGGTAGCAAACAGTGACATCTCCAACTAATAAAAGATCTATTTTTGCCTGTAAAAGGAGGAAGAAAATAGAGACAGTATATAATTACTATCTGGGCATAGAAAAAACATTGTTTGTGAAAGGATAAAGTACGTAAAGGTGACAACACAATGATTGCTTCTATAACTGTTTTGGCCGGTCGGTAAATCAAGCAGGAATCATTAGTGTGATGTCCTCAATACCTAGGTCGGGTATGGATCTAATGGTCATCTTATGTTTTTATTTTGCCTACGAATGTTATTCTACTGTGCTTTTCCTGTAAATCTCATTCGTGTGCTATTAACAAGATACAGGATTCTAACAACCCCAATTCTCAATTCTCTGTCCTCCTGAGAAAACCAAAGGGTGATTCATACAACTTACTTTGATAAAATACATTCCAGAGAGCAGAAAAAATATCAAATTCCCAAAGCCTAAGAAATGCTCACATGAACTCCTTTAAATGGAATATACATGGCATTCAAATACCAATATTCAAAACCTAAAAAGATCTTTATTTCCACTCTGAGGTATTTTCAAGTACAATTATGAAAAGTACTATTTCCATCTCCACCTTTATTTCTGTATGTTTTATTTCTATAATTAACGAACAGCCCACATAAAATGTACAAGGATGGGGATGCTTGAATTAATGGAACTAGTAGGAAACAAGTGGAAATGTCAGGCATAGATCGATTCATGCAAGAAGACAAACTCAGGAGTTGACAGTGGTAACTGGGCCAAAAGTGGAGGAGTTGAAAATATTAGTACAAAGAGAAAGTCTATGAAAGATGCAACTCATTCTGTCTTATGTTAAAACGTGCTTTTATGATATATTCTAATGTTTTCTGGTTTTGCATTTAGTTTTTTATTCCATCTGGAATTTATTTAGTTATTAACATAACGTAAATATCTGACTTAATATTTTCCAAGTATAGAGCTAGCTGACACAATAATAGCATTCTTGAACAAGCTAAACTTCTCTCAGTATTTTCAAATGCCACCTTTGTATGCTGAAAAAATTCATTCCAACACACTGATCTATTTGCCAATGCTTCGTTAATAACATACTGTTTAATTACTAGTTATTTATACTGTGTTTTGCTACTTGATAAGGTACAAAATTTTGTTATTTTTTAGTTTGGCGCTTCAATATTTTCCCACAATTTCTCTTCTAGTAGAATTTTAGCATCACTTTGCCAAAGAACCCTGCTGAATTTTATTATGCTTACATTGATTTTAAAGGTTAATCAGAGATTCTCACTGCTGTATTAAATTTCCCTGCTCAGCAAGTATGTCCCTCAGAGAATTTAGTCTCTTTATCTTGATTTTTATAGTTATTTTCATATAGATTTTTTTCATTCATCCTTACATATTTATTCTCAGATATTTTAACATTTAGAAGTCATTATGAAGGGGACATTTTTCCATTCACTGCATTTTCGTTTATTAGTTACCACACAGAAGATACACTGATTTCTATACAAAGAATTTGTTTCAAGTACTTCATGGTTCTATCTAGTTCCAATATATTTTAGTTGACTCTTCTCAATTTCCTAGGGAGTTAATTATAATTTTCAAAAACTGACATTTTTGTCTCAGTTTTGAGAATATAAGCCATTTATTTATTTAAAGCATCAACTAGAACGTCTAAAACAATGGCTCATTTTGGCTTTGTTCCTGTATTTAGAGGGACTGTTTTGAACATGTTCACATTAACTATGAAACTTACTAAAGGTCTCTGGTCAATATCCTTTATCAAATTTTAGAAGCTTCTACTTGAAGGGTTTAAACATCAGAAATGGGGGCTGAAATCTTTCAAATGTTTTTTCAGTACAAATATGATTTCAATATTATTTTCTACCTTTTTATCTGTTAGGCAGTAAATCATATTACTAGATTTCCCAGTGACAAGCCATCCCTCTATGCTGGGATAAACCAATTCAGGAAGTGTAATGAAATCAATTCACTGTTTATAAAATTTCTACATCTGTGATCACAAATGAAAATGGATAAAATTTTATTTTAATGTATGATCTTACCGGGTTTGGGTATCAGTGTTATATGCTAGCCTTAAAGAATAAAATAGCTTCCATATTTTTCTTATTGCCAAACATTTTATTAGACAAGAAATCATGTACTTCTTGAGGCTTATTTAAAACACATCTATAAAACATGGTCCCAAGGGTCTTAGACTACCTTTTACAGTTCCTTCATGATTACTGGTAAATTTAAGGGTTCCACTTTTCTTAGACAAACTTTGTTCTTGTGTATTTTAAAAATTCCACTTCATCTACATATACATTCAAATGTCTTAATTTATTTTTAAAATATGTAATATTTATTACTGAATTCATCTTGCTTTCTACCTATAAATTAATACTTTCTTCTATCTTTTCTGGAATGCTTTGCCAGAGAATATAGAATTCTATGGCCCAACATGGTAGCCACATGAAGCCATTTAAATTTAAAATTATGTTAATTGAAACTTGAAGTTCAATGGCACTAGTCTGTTTCAAGTGCTCAATATCCACAGGTAAGTGGATACCACACAACATGGCACAATTATAGCTCATTTTCATCATTATAGGAAGTTATGGACAGCACAGTGAAGGACCTAAATCTCCCAAGAGTTAAACCCTACAGGTTGTAGTATATAGTGCATTCATATTTATTCAATGCTAAATATACTTTGCTTATTTTTCCATTTTTGAGTAAGAGTTAACATTAAACTCCTAAATGTATGTTTAATTTTCAAGAAGATAATGTATTTTAGTATTTAATTCTGTGAGCTAGTCATTGCCAATTTCTTGCTTCAGTACACTGTCAAGTGAAACACCTTGCATGATATCTACTTTTTAGAATTTGGTGACATACCATTCACTTTTGTTAATGTACTTGAATACCCATTTTCTATTGGGCATAAAGGTCATATGTCTATTTGTTTTCTTATGCTAGGCCTATTTGAGCTTTTTGTTTGTGAGATAAGTATGTCAAAATTTCCCTAAACATGGTTTTTTCTATTTGTCAGTTTCTCTAACTATAGATTTTATTTCTAATTATGGGACAGGTATATAAAGCTTCATGATAATGGTATTTGTATAAGGATATAATTATAGTCTGTCCTGTATAATGATCTATATCTATATAAGGTTAGTAGGCAAAATATAATTATGTATCGATTTTACATAAAAGGCTATATATGAAATATAACTATCACTTTTAATGCTCTTCACATGAAATTTTATTTTTTTTTTGCTACACAGCTGCTTTTCATATAACTTTATTTTGAACTGCTCTATATCATTTTGACCTGTGTAGTTTCTATAAATGCTGGGTATGGTGGTGCACACCTGTAATCTCAGCATTCGGGAGGCTGAGGCAGGAGAGTAAGTTCAAGACCAGCCTGGGCTAAAAAGTGAGCTCAAGGCCAACCCAAACTGCATTTATTTATCTCAAAAAGACAAATAAATAAATAGTATATAAGTTGAGCTTTTCAGTTTGTTTTTTCCCACAAACTGAGTTTTCCATTTTTGATGTAGAAACATATAATTGATCAATTAATACTATTTATATCATGCAATTCACTAGCCAATGTCGATTGTGAAATACTGGCAACCCAATGTGAAATAGTCTAATTCCTTTCATTTCTTATTCAGGTTCCTACTTACTGTTTTCCTGTTTTTCCATCCTATTGTACCTATAATGCTTTGGGATTAACAGCCCTTATTTTTATACTTGGGAGTTGTTGGTTGCCGTAGCTTTTTTAAAAATTAATTTTAGGTTCACAGAAGAGCTGCAGAGAAAGTATAATGAATTCTCAAACTTTCTATTAACATCTTCCACAACCAAGACACTAGTATCAATTTTTTTAAATGTGACTTTTTACAATTAAAAAAAAAACTCTTAAGGAAATAACATAGGGTAGTACTATTAGATAAACTACAGATTTTGCTCTCCTGCTAATGTCCTTTTTCAGTCTTAGGATCCCATCTATGATAATGCATTACTATTAGTCTTCATTCTCTCCTGGTCTCCTCCAATCTTTAAAGCTCAGTTTCCCATGTTTTTTCTGACTCTTGAATAGTGAGGGTCAGGTATTGTGTAAACATTCCAGAATTTGAGTATGTCAGATGGTTTCTAGTTAGTAGACTAAGACTATGGATTTTTTTTTGGAAAATACCTACCCATTCATGAAGTGCCCTTGTCAGGGTATCATTTATTGAGACACCACCAAAGATGTTCATGTGGGTTTCCTGGTTAAGGAAAAGGTTATCCACTGTAAAGTCATTATTTTTTTCCTATTTGTCTTCAAAAAGCATCACTAAAAATCCAGACACGCTCAGTGTAAGGGGACTCAAGCACCTATCACCTCTTGGGGAAGGAATAGCAAACAATACTGGATATATGGTAAAAACATTACAGCAATAAATGAATGTGGGGGTTATATTTATTTTATTCTTTGTGTTACAATTAAATATTTTTGCTATTCATTTTTCTACCCAAGTTACTAGTTGAGCCATCAGAAGCTAAGTACTTAATTTTTAATAAGGATATGTGTCCATTTTCAAGTAAGATATAGAATTAACCTAAATCTATGCCCTTTAAGAAAGCATTCTTAATGTATCTTAATATGCCACCTAATACTCCACACCAGTGTATGCATTTTACATTTTTATTAACATTTAAAGGTAATGATTTTTTTCGTTTGTATGACTTGTGACTCATATTTCCATATTTTGGAATTCATTTTATTGAATTATAGTACAAGTTCAGGAAAGTCTTCTAAAGATTAACTGATGCCATAAAGAGAGACCTAGTATGTGTGAAAACCTTCATTGTGTGCTCACAATTCAGTGGCATTTTTATCTAGTAAATACTTCTAAGGTCAATTTATGTTGTCCCTCTGTTTTGAAGATATTGATCCATTTTCTTCTGACAACTTTTGTTACTGACAAAAAAAAATAAGCTGCTTTGTTTTTCTTGAGATGATTTATTTCCTTTTTATTCTCTGGGTTCTGAGAGTTCTC